AAAGGAAAGATGTTATTTTAATATCAAAATTAATGTTATTAGTAGCAACACGGATCATTACACGTACAAAACTTAACTTCGCTAAATCAAATGTTACTATGATAGATATTGAACACAATTTATTAATTTTATTTGTCACATAGACCGTACATAACCGTTCACCCCTACACGCTTAATTATGAATCAATTTACAGAAACTACTTACAATCTTCGATCTTTATCAAATTTGCCGAACAGATAACAATCCTTTCAATTTTGAAATCAATATAAAGTTGTGACAATTAACCAAAAAAAGCAAAACGGCCTATAAGTCGAGGATGTTGTTCAGGCGAGGGCTCCGAGCAGGAGTGTGTAAGTAATTCCAACTAACAGTGCACAACGTTGCCCTGGGTTCAGTGCTGGCGCTCGAAACGGTGCCACATGACTAAGCCACATTACGCATGGAGTCTATGACGTAACACATACTATTGACCAATTAGCTGTGTTCACTATGCAGTGCGGTGTTTATGAACGTTCGGTTTATATTTTTTAATTTATTTTAAGATTCTGTAGAAAATATACAATATCCTTCCATGATGGTGACCTAGGTTGAAGAAAATAATACAATAAAATAATGTGAACATTTTATTACAAAAAAATCAAGAAAATATTACATTTACATTACCAGCAAAAAAAAAAAAAAAACTGTCAACATCAATCAATAAAATTTGGTGAAGATTTGATTTTAATAAATAAACATTCTCAAAATAGAAATAATTATCATTTAGTGACTTTACTTACGTAGAAGCAACAATTAATAGATGTCTTAATATTCTCTAAGAAAATACCCGGAGTCGTGGAAAGTACGTAATGAGACCAAGAAATTTTAAAGAAATAGTTCGATTTCATCTGTTACAAAAACCAATCACCTAAATATGTACACTGAGATCATTTTAAGTCTATGAAAATTTAAGGTTGCGAGATATTGTTTCGTACAGAGTTGTTTTGAAGTAAGGTTAAGGGTAAGATATCAATAATAGTTTCATTACTCTCATATGAACATTAATGAAATTAACTGACTTAAAGAATTAAAACAGTGGCGCAAACAGGAGGAGGGATTCAAATGAATAACAAATAATCAACATAATATATTTTTCAATCACATCAGTGGAATATCTTTATATGAAAACATCGTTACGGCCAAAGACTACATCTATAGTCAATCCCTCTGACAAAAATCCTGGATGCACCACTGATTTTAACTACGGAACAATTATCTTCGGTGAGAAGAGCTTTAAGATTGGTTGACTCACAAAAAAAACAAGATTAATGTGTTTTGTAATTCATTATGTAATTTTGTTTATGTTATCTTCAATTAGTTTCATGAATCTTTATAGTCGGGAGCTGATTTGTTAGCACGCGGGGAGCGGGGTGTCTACCACCGTATCTCGTGCATTCGTGACCATTTCTATGACAACCGAACAACTATGCTTGTTGCTGACATCGGCCGGGTATCGGCGTAATTCCTATGTGAATCACAGACCAGGCTTGGTCCATGATTCTACACCACGTGTTTTCTTCTGAGGGAGTTTGCTTATTGTTTGTAACACAAGTGTACAGCGTATTAATTTTAATTTTGTTTGTGTCTTTTGGTGGAACGGTATGGCTTCTGTTCGTAGGAAAGGCCAAACAACATACAGTACAGCTAGGGAAATTATACGTCTCGTTAATAAGAAATGTGACGAAGAAAAGAATTAAGGCGTCCTGGAACACACGCTGCATAAGAGCAACTCACGAGTAGCAAACTATACTGAAGGATATGTTCGAACTGTGACATCAATTAAAAAAGAAGGATTTGAAGCCGGCGGAGAAGCCTTGAGTACTCCCGGTAAGAAAATGCCATATTGTGAAGAAAAAAAATCCACATTGATGACGTAGACCTATTGGCTTATTTGCGTTCTTTATTGACGTATGAAGTTTTAATTTTTGCCTATGGACACTTGGAGAAATGCATTTGGGACAGATAGTTGTTGCAGATTAGGCGGGGGGAGGGCAGCTTTCAAGATCACCGAGCGCATTCCTCAGCCACGCAAACAAGTTCGCTCCCAACTATACTTTTATTTTAATGGTCAGGTTTGTCACTGTGGCTTACTATCACGTCTTGATTAATACGATTCCGTCTTTTCCCTAAATAGACATGTCGAAAGTGTAACCTTTTCTTGAACATAATATAAAATTTATCTGTTTCAGACCAATAATCTGTATGTTTATCTCTCTCGTCATTACCCATTTGTAAAATTATAGATAAAAAGAACCACATTTCAGGTTCAGAAACGTCATATTCTGCATTAGGTCTTCGGTCAAGTTGTTCAAGTACTGCTGGTAATACCGATTTGTTTCAGTCACCATAAGTTGAAGAATATAAGAGAAATAGAGCAAGAATACATTAAGAGGGACAGACGAAGAAGAGAGTTGAAATGTACAGTGCGACTATTTTATAAATGTGCCAGTTGCGCGGGGACGTGCCCTCAGCGACCGAGGCCACGGAAATCGACACAGGGCAGTCGGCAGAATTGCCGAAGAGAAAAGTTGGCATTTCGCAACCGGAAAATTTAAATTGTGGAACAACTCTGGAACTACTTACTATTAGAAATGACACATTTTGGATATCTACACAAGTTCCTATTCACTCGGTAAAGAGAGTTTTGTCGTATTGCTGAGATCTGTTCCTGTATATTGTAATTTTTCTTTCGTGTGGGGATTTGTCGCGTGTATGCGATCTTGCTGGGATCCCCAAAGAAAGAAATCGCACGAAGTTCAGAGAGCGAATAGGCCACAAATCACGTATGAAAATTCTGCCCTCATAAACAGCTCGTAAATCCTTAAGGATACTGAAGGAGTGGGGGCGGTTGCGAAGTCCTTTTGTAAATGGCCGTTACGTCCTTCATTTGTCATCATTTATAAGAAAGGCTCCCAGATGCGGTTTAGCCCATTTTACGTGTCATACACAAACTCTTTCTGTTTGAGAGTGAACTTCGAGGACTTCGTGAACTTTTATAAACGAGGTATCTAAAGAAAATTTCTCGGGGACGTGACGAACTGCATTTTGACTTTAAAAATATGACGAATTCGTTTCAAGAAACGCATCCAAATATTCATGTAAAATGCAATTCGCAGGACTCAATTAGGTATATCGGTAAATAACTCACAAACAATGCGTTATAGGGCCTTAAAAACTATTATTTTGAGTCCAGAGACCTCAAAGAACCGTTTACTATCACGTCGTAATCTATAGGATGAGATATTTTTGGGAATTCTATTAAATTTTTGCTGTTTCAGAACATCGATATTACCAATGCCACCTAGATTTCAACCATTGGTGATGGTGGTCATATTTGTGACGTCACGCTTAGAAGGCTTAGATTCCTGCATCTTATAATAATTATGCTTTCTGTGTTCACAGTGGTTTGAGCAGACTGGCTAGGTTTATTTGAATACTTATTCATTCAAAATTCGCTCTTGCAGCAACAATTATACGTACTATTAATAATTGCTTGATTCCGATGAAGATTGTTTCTTATGCGTGTAGTGAAACCATTTATTTAACGTTTTGACGAGGTCTAAAAGTACTGTGTACTAAATTGTGGAGGGATGTGGGTGTACAGTGAAGAGTGAAGACGTGTCTTGTTAGGTTTGTTTTGTGTTTTACCTGGACCAGTATTTTCGTTACCAGCAGTGATTCGGTGAAACTTTCAAGAGATCGTGTTCAGTCACGTAACTTTCTCAAGTGTAAAAAGCTTTTTCAATGTTTTTGTGACTATCATAAGAAGCGAAAAGCTAACTGTCAAAGAATATTGAATAATTACTTTACATATTTTTAAGGGAGTGTTATGAATTGTTCCAAGAAATCTCTCGATTATACTAAATAAACCTTTATGCAAAATTTCTTTCAAACATTTCAAACAAGTTTACATATTATTTTAATTTTAAATTCTTTACGTAGATTAGAAGCTACCTTTTCAAATTTTTTGAACAAATATACACAGTTTGTTGACAACTTACCCTCTTAATATGGAAAAGGAAATAGTGAAGAGGGTGGAATTTAATATGTACAATTTAACGAGTTCTTGCACGGGTACGCTAGTGATTATATATCAAACAGCACAAAATGTAATTGATGGTTTTATTTAATGTATTTAGAAATACACACATAAAAATCTCCTATATTTAAACTTGTGAGATTTTATGTAATGGAAAAGTGTGAAGTGTTTTTTGTAATGGAAAGGTATTTTGTGAAGGTAAGAAACTCATGAATCAAACTTCGTGCCTTGTTTTCGAGAATTACAGTTATTATGATCCGTTTTCCTCATAAATAAAAAAAATAATCATGATAAAGCTATGAAATTTTTAGAATGTATGTAACCAAGTATTATCTATAAAACCATGCTAAATCATACATTGTTATTCAATACTTTTGTTATAACAAGTATAAAACTAAAGAACTATTAAAAATCAATGTAATAATTTTGGATTCAAATTAAAAATATTATTTATTCAGATATCTAAATGAAAGAGCATTGTTTTGTACCTATGAGTATTTTCAACAAAACAAAATAACAAATTGGTAAAAATGTTCAGAATTATTTTAGTTAAAAAGTAAGTCAGTGCATTAAAAACTGGTTGAATTTTGATTGAAAAAATGTTTTGAAGTTACAGTAAATTTTTCCTTGCAGAAGAACGTGTGTTCTATGTGTCAGTTCATTTTCACTGCTGTGAAGTGTGATTTTAATGGAGAAAAATGTGGAAATATGGTAAAAATTTAACTGATGTAAGCTGTGCCTACCCCTTTAAAACCTCTTAACCCTCAATCATAAAATGCATTTATCGTGTTATACGTCTCCCGTGATAACCGACAATATTGAATCACTTCTAATCGGGTGGGAATAATGACAGTGCCATTGAAATTATGGACAGCAAAACACCAATGTATGCTCTTTTTGAATGTTTGTGAAAATGTTATTTTATGATATATAATGAAGAATTAACAATGTAACAATTGCTGTAGCCGTTATTCTTTTGTAGCAATTACATTTACGTATTTCTGATTCTGCAATATTTCTATCGTCTCTTTAAATAATGTAGTTATAATTTTATAGAACTGTTACAAAATGACTGATTACGGCTGCGACGGCGAAGGCTGTGCTATTGCACGTAGTCCGAATTTCCGTATCTGCGCTCCACGTGGCCGCAAACCGCGCACTTTGCTCAGCGCGCGCAGCACGAGTCGACTGCGCCTGCGCAGGCGCTCGCCGCTCGTGCCGCGCACCCGTCTGGCACAAGGCAGCGCAGACGCCGACAGCCCGCGCAAGCAGCTGCGATGGCAGACACGTCGTTCAGCGCCAGAACGTTTGCTGCGTCGTAGCTCTGCTGTACTCGTAGTGTCTCCGGTAGTACGCCCAAGCGAACGGCCAAGCCAAACGACGAGTTGAAATCGTCCTTCCACTTACGAATCAGACCAGTTTCTTCCATTTGCAACATTTTCTGTTTCAGAAGTTCAGACCATGGCCAATTCCTGTTGATAAGGGAATTGAAATCAACTTAAAGAATGTTAAACGTACTAAAACATAGGTAACTATTTTAAAGAACAATAATATTGAAACATCCCAGCATATTTTTTTAAACATCTGTAGAGAACTGAGAATAAAATGATTTGTGTTTTTAAACAAAAACTGCATAAGCGTAAGCATTATGATATAAAATAAATATGACATTTTGACCTTTAAATATTTGTTCATTTCAAAGAAAAATTAGCATCGTAATACGTATAATGTTTTCAAAAATTATAAACGGGACACTAAAGCAATACATTTTTACACTTTTTGACAAAGAAAGCAAAAACCTGCGTTTCGCGTGATTCTTATGCAATAAAGGGTTTGGTTCCATATGTTACATTGTGTTGCATTTAGTTTTATCAATTACTGCTTGTATTCTGTACTATTAACAATATTCAAGTCATTTTCTCTAATCTCTAAAAACACATAGGTATTAGTTATATTGAAATAATGAGTTGTCATTGCCAACAATTTATTTAATACAATAGCAAATTTCGATGACTTAGCCATCATCAGTTTAACATCGTCATTATTTCATTGTAAATGCCAACGAAAATATACCGCAATACCAATATTGGTTATATTTCTTCAAAAAATCAGTCCAAAAAGCTGAAATTATGGTCTGCAACAACTCTGGTAGATCAAGATTTTGAATTGATCTTCATTCCTTGAGTGAAATCGACACAGTCACTAGATAAAACATGAACCTCTCGCATTATACCTAGGCATAGTAGCGGGCTATAGTTTTATAATGCTTTAGGTATTTTCTATAATGGGATTCATAAGTTATATATCCTTCTCACTAAGTTATAAATGTATTAAGTTAAATACCGTCCTATTAGTGATTATTTAGAATACACAAATCTCCCTGGTAGAATGTAAAATAAAATTTAAAAGAAGCATTTTCGTATTCCAGATTTGCAATTATCAAATCATTTTTATACACTCACCGTCTGCTGCAGGCATGTGGGCTAAATCCGATGGCTTTATCTTTTATTTTTCTATAAAACCTAGCTTCAGGGAAAACGGAAGTTCCATACTGCTGCCAAAGTTCAGAGGGATAGAACATTGCAAAACGTTTCTTTTCTTCATGTCTGAAAATTTCTGATAAGTCTCGTTTATTTTTGTATTTACGTAATTGAATCTTCGATCGAAACCTTGCATAAACTGGCACGATTCCAATATCGGGGAATAACATAATAAACTTGTTTTTAACCAGCTGATCATAGGTCTCTATCTCTGCTTCATGTTGTGGATTCGTAATTAGATTAAAGAGGCGTCTCTGAAACACAAAAATCATTTGCAAATGGACTCATCAAATAAATCACGTGCTTGCGTATTTTCGGGTGTAACTAAAAAAATGCGTACTTAAACAGAAATATGATGGTATACAAAATTTAAGTTGATTTAATTTCATACAAAGTATGTTTATTATGCTTTTTCTGTCAATAGAACAGTTTAGGAGCAACAGGGCAATGAATTGAGTCCAATGCCTGCTTCAACTCTCTCCTGGTGTCATGTATTTTCACGTTTCTTTAAAAACAATTATTTTGGGGTACATTTAATTACATTATTTACCTAATTTATGTAACTAAATAATTATTAATGAATGTAATTAAATTATCATTTTTTAATATGTCAATCTGCTCTCAATTTGCAGTCGCGGAAATGTTTTGCTGAAAAGATCAGAATTTATAACGTAATAAGACCGTCCTTAAATTAAGACCTACATTTTTCTATGAAACTCCGAAGTCGCTTCACGGCAAAATTATGAGGTCATACAGTGAGGATTAATGGTGTCAAATTTTGAGCTAATCGTCCGTGCGATTGCTTCCTCGTTAAAACTTTTCATGAGCAGAAGTTTAGCAGCCCTCATGAGCAGCTATTCTTTCAGGTTAGCATCTGCTCTTTCATCTGCTCATGAGCAGAAGAAGTATGTCATGAGCAGAAGAGTTAGGCAGGATAGTAGCTGTTTCATTAGAAATTTGCGAACGGGAAAATCAAGTGGAGTTAGAAGTAATGATGATCCAAAATCTCAGTGACATACTCAGAACAATTTCTATTAAATTTTCCGTTAGAAGAACGGTAAAAGAGGTTTAGCGCGCTGAAAGTCAACCATACATTGGGCATTGCGTCTATTAAGACCCACTCTGGAGGTCTCGAGGTAACATCTATTTTTTAAGATGGTCCTTTAAAACAATTCTGTAATATGTAATTAAATAAATCAAGGTTAAAATTAAATTTACGTAGTTAATCAATATCAACAAATTTACTTAATTGATTTTGTAAATTTGACACAAAAAATTTTCAACAAATGTATGCTTTACAGACAGGCAGACGAACTTTTTGCCGTCGATCGATTTTTCAGTACCATGGACCCACCAAACGTAACTCTCACTACACAGCACGTTAGAGGAAGTAATTTACTACATACAGAAAAAATGATTTATGCACTTTTTTGTTACCAGGGCCCGGCCTAGTTTTTCTGCCGAAAATTCGCCGTTTTTCCCCCACAGCACGACACTACGTTTTTTACTGCGTAAGCAGTAGGCGAGAAAGAAACAAGCTTACTTTTACAATACTTAATAAAGAACCTTTTTTACCAACAATGCTTGTTACTAATGTAACATTGAATGTCAAAACACGAAAAATTGAATTACATAAATAATAGTTACTACTCATTACTTAGAATCATACCAAGAACGATTGAATTTTCTTGCAGTTTTCTCGCCTGCACCCTGCACAACTATACTCAGCATTAGGTTGACCATTTTCCAAAATATGTCTGTTTTCTACATCATTAAGACGAGAAAACGTGCGTAGTTCATTCATTGTCTCTGTCATAATACTCTATTAACGTATAATCGGATTTAAATAAACAAAAATCGAGTAACATCAGCATAAAAAATCAAGTAATGATCCGCAGCATACTAATTTAAAATGGAAAAATAAATACTTCCTAATTAATAAGCACGTTCTCCGCTTATTAACTCGTCACCAAAACAGTAAATAAGTGAGTGCAATTCACTCAATTCATACTTGCAATTCGTGTACCGATGCAATTAAGCTTTCTATAAATCAGAAACGAAAATGACTATTTCTCAAATATTGCTAATCTTACCATTTAAAAAATGTATTTTTAAAATTTATTTATGAATGTTAAACTTTTACCCACCTTTCAACCTTAAAATGAGGGGTAGGGATTCTGGAACTCAAGAAAACAGATATTCTTCCCCCCCCCTACGTCACATACAATTTTTACTTCTTCTTTTTGACTGAATAAATCTAAATCTAACTCTCTCGTGCGGGTAGGCAGCGAGAGGAATCGCTAATCTGCCAGCAACGCGCACGTGCCAAATACGAACATAGCATGCCACTACTCTTACGCTCACTACGGGGCCTTTTCTTAGAAATCGGTGCTAGGCGCGACAGCGCCCGGGCGTGCCTCAGCGGGAAGAGACGAGATAGAGCGCATGGCGCACGGGCTGGTAGAAAACGCTTGAAATGGAAATATGGATCCTGCTACGATAATGAAATGTTCATGTTAGCAGTTGCAAATTAATAATACTTACACCATATTAAAACTGTAAGAGTCATTTAATTTTGTTTATTATTTATGTGTATTAACGTACGTATTTATCATAGTAGACAGTGCCTACCCTAAGGTGCCGCCACTGGCCCACTGCCGCCGAAGCCGATACAAGAGTGATTGACAAAATTCTTTTATTACATTTATTACATGATATTAGTCATTAATTTAATTACATATTCCTGAAATGATTTGTTGTAAAAGAAACATTGAGAAACTAAAAGTCATCAGATTAAAATAAGAATTGAAGTAGACAACTCTTGTAAACTAATACAACGCGCTGGATCTCCTAACATTGGTCGTATGACAAAATATTTTCGGTGCCAGTAACAGTCAAAAGTTTTGCTCAGTAAGGAATACGAAAAAGAAAAAATCATAAAAATGGAGATGAGGGCTGACCTGATACATGGCGGCGACGACGACGGCGGAGGCGAGCAGCGCGGCGGCCAGCTGCAGGCGCTGCGGCGTGGCGCGCACCCTGTCCTGCGGGGCGCCCCCGCACGAGGAGAAGGCGCGCAGCGCGGCGGCGACGCTGGCGGCCAGCGACTCGCCCGCTACCACGCGCCACGCCAGCGCGTACGCCACCGCCGCCCCCAGCAGCGCCAGCCAGATGCGCGGGGAGAACACGCGCAGCGGCAGCGACCACGCCGGCAGCGGCGGCGCAAACGGGACACTGATAATGTGACGATCGGGCTCTCCGACAGACACTATGTCCATCAGAGTTGTGTAGCCTAACCTTTCGCTGTAGTGCCTAATGTACTGTGGTACAAAATCTGTTTCTCCCGTAACCAACATTTGTTCCATTTTAACCACATGGTTTTCAGCAGAGTCCTGGAAAATAAAATGTCTGATTAAATATGACAGTATATTGAGTAAGGGACAAAACTAAATATCAATTACAGATTTAAAATCCACTAGATACCAATAGATACAACATTTTTAGAGATACTTCTTGCCCGTGCGTAAGTTTAACATTAATAAACATATTACGCTCCATGTTGTAATGAACTGTGGGCGTTTCAGAAAAAAAGAGTACATACACAGATGACATATGTAGGAAAAATTATCAAATATACGGGAAAGTAAAAATTGCCTGTTAAAATATATGTTTCAAGTTCAAAGAGCCGCGACACTATCCACATCGATAGGAAATTATCAATTTTGGAGAAAATCGGCTGAACGATTATCCGCTAGCATTCTTCGAAAACGGACATTTTCATAAGCATTGCAGCATTGCATAACTTTCTCTATACTGCCTAAGTGGTAGCGAGAAAGTAAAAATTACTACTTCCTTTTCCAGCAATACCAATACCTTACTAACACTACTATTGCTACTATTACTACCACCGCCACTAAAACAGTCACGAACACCACCACACTCATCACACCACCACCAGGACACGGCTCAACGGCCATGCCTGCGGCTTTGGCACTCGCTCTGCCCGCCTCCAGCAGACTCGCTTCATTGCGATGGGTCGCGTGCTGCTAACACCACCAACCCCACCCCCACCACCACATACATCATCTACTACAACTATAACCCCTACCACTACTACAACCTACAACTACCACTACTACCACTGATACCACTACCATTACTATTATTTTCACCATTTACACCAACACTACCATTACCACTACCAATGCCGCCACCACCACCACCATTTAGCTCCTACCGCCATCTGTACTACAGCTACTGCTGGGGAAAACCCGACTAGCTGACAGGTCGGATCTCGCCATCCAACGAGGAAAGAACATCGCCACTTCTCGAGGAGAGAACACGTACTACACTTATGGGACTAATTACCGTAGCAGTCGACGCACCCGGAATCTCTATAAATCAATCAATCCTTTTACCGCTACCGCACCACCACTACCACCACTACTACTACTTACAGCATGCTTGACGAATATCATGCTAATGAAGAATGAAATTTCATTTCGTTTCCTCATCTCGTCCAACATCCGGAGAACGTAGCCAACAACCGACACTTCGATGCCCCGTATAGTTCTCGTATAGTTGTAGTAGTCTGACGTCTGAATGGCCAATACTTGCACCGAGATACCACTCGGGTCTGGTGATCTCGCCGCTAGGAGCGCTGCAGCCGCCCTCTCACCCTCGTCACCATCCTCGTCACCACCGCCACTCTTCCATCTGAACACACGCAACCTGCGATACAAATACATGATGAGCGTTAGATAAGTTTACATTTTTGGAATCCCGGGCATATTATGTAAAAAGTAATACATAAAGAATTAAAATTAAATATATAAATAATAAAATATACAAAAAATGTACGCAAATATTCTTGTCGATTGAAAAACCAAACATGAGCCATGAGTTAAATCGCATAAATTTTACGAAAATTTGACTATTTTATGAAATTTTTTAAAATTTTTTTCTGCTACTAATGAACCGTAGTAAATAACGGTTATACGCAAAAAAAGTACACCCCTCTCTGACAAGTACAAAAAGTACTTAGAGTTTGAAATGTACTGGATGAA